AGAGCAGCTCATGAAGGGGTCCATGTTCCTGCTAAAGAACTAGGGTGTTTTTATAGAAGACAATGAAAAATAAATAACATGAGATGCCTTTATCTTATTACTTTAGTAAAATCACTCTTATGACTACTTTCAGATAAAGTCTGGATGCAGAGAAATAATGAGCTGATTATACTACATAGGAGAACAAAATCCTGATAAACATGTGTGTGTACATGTGTGTGTATGTGCATGTGTGTGTATGCGTGTGTGCATATGTGTGTACTTGTGTATGTGTGTTATGCGTATGTCCTTGAGCTTGGTATGTGTCAACATACACCTGTGGAGGTCAGAGGTTGGTCTTAGGATAGATTCTCGCATTGCTTCTCTTGATATAGGGTTTCTCATTGAGACTCAAGCTCATAGTCAGCAAGGCTGGCTGGCAACAGAGTCCTCAGTGTACTCCTGTACCTTCCCTTCAGCACTAGGGTTACCTGACTCTCATGTGTGTGCTATTCTGAAGTCATGGCCTCATGCTTATGTGGCAAGCATTGTACTGATTGAACAACCTCCCTGATCCTGGAACCACTTAGCTTGAAGATGCTGCCAGATAAGGAATGCCCTTTAGAATATCTTGAAACCTTGTTGAAAAAAATATTTAATATGCCACATTTATCATTGCTTTCAGACAATTGCAGCACTAATTTTAGTTCTTAACCACTGATAACCTTGTGTATCGATATGTTTGTGGGAGCGTGTGTATGTGACAAAGGTCAACATGAGTTCTTCCTCACTCATTCTATACCTGCATTTTTCTGAGAGAGAATCGCTCACTAACCCTGGAGCTCACTACTTAAGCCAGGTTGACTGTCCTACAATCCTCAGGGATCTCCTATCTTTGTCCCTCTACCGCTGGGATGACAGAAAGAAACAGCGGAGCTTAGATTTTGACACGAGAATGCTGGAAATGAGAACTCTGGTCTTATTGTTTGTGTAGCAAGCATGTTACAGAATGAGTCATTCCATGGCCCACCAAATGATAACTTTTAATTTCTAAGACCCTCTACATAGCAGTAGGAAGAATGTCAGGAGTTTAACATTTTACTTTTAGTCCAATGACCAGTGTCTGAAACTGTATTGTTGAAAACCATATGACTAACTCTAAACCCTAACCTTCCCCACCACCATTTCCCTTCATGTCTCCCTGTAAGATACAAGAAGTAACAAAGCTTACAGTGTTCCTCTTGTTTATCAGCTCATTCTCTAGTGATCTGAGATATGTGAGCCAAGCCCAATGCCATGCCCAATCTTCTACTCATCTATCATGAATCTATTAACAGATTCATCTTATGTCAGGATATAGACAAACAGGAGCACCGGAGCTATATTTCCCTTCAAAAATGCAGATTCCACAAAAGTTAAATAAAAGAGGCAAATATTAGTGTTCAATAATACACATCCTAGATGTCAATTAGTATAGGTTCTCAGTTTTTCTTGTTTGTTGTTTCCACATTACTCATCATAATCCAAGGTAAACAAACCTTGGTTAAAGGATGTGATCAGAGAAATAATTCAATGAAGAGAATCATTGGCCCTGTTGGATCCACCTAGGATTTCATCTCTCCCAGAAAGTCCTTAGCATGTGGAACCCAGACAGATTTCCTCTGCCTGGGCTTTAGGATCCTCATCTGTAGAAGGGCAGAGTGGGACCTGGAAACTCTTGAGGGTTTTGGTTGCCATGGCATTCTAAAAGTCTGCAATGCTATTGAAATCTGGGTACTCTTTGGAATGAGTGATGGGAATGAGAGCTAGGACTCTGAAGTCATATCGAACTAGGAAGACTTCATCTTGAGAGAGACTTCAGAGAGATGATTGGCACGTGCACTGTAGGTCAAAGAGCTTCCGTAACCTACTATCCAAATGTGTCCCAAGGAGAGCCTGCTAAGGTGTTACCATTCCTGCCATTTCATGAAGAAAACAAAACACAGAGAGTGAAATGACTGTAGTATTTTATGTTGGTTTTCTTGTTTAATTCATGCAATAATCTTAAGTCCTTCCGCACTTACTCCACCTTCTCACTCATTAGTCCTCCTTTACTTTCTTACCAGTTTATAAACAATGGATCAGGGCTTATGAGACCAAGAAGATTTCACCTCATTGAGTTAGAACTACATCTACACTTAAAATATTTGCTTACAAGTTTGGTGAGAATCCAAGTGACTGCAGGGGCTAGCGGGTGATGGAAGCACACAAAATGATCAAGGAAAGACTATTAGCATTTCATTTAAAAAGATTTATGTTTGTTTATTTATGTGCACAAGGGGGTGCCTATGTGAGTGTTGTGGATGTATGTATGTGGGTGCTGATGTCTAGACCTGCATGTGAAGGCCAGAAGAGGATGTCAGGTGTCTTCTTCCGCTACTCCTCACATTGTCGTCTAAGGCAGAGTCTCTTCCTGGGCCTGGAGCTTCATAGCTGGGCTGGGCTAGAAGTCAGCATGCCTGCCCCAGTGATCCTCCTGCCTTGATTCACCCCAAAAGCAGGAGCTATCGGCTTTTTCAGGGAATGCCTGCCAGGTTGTTAGGCGACTGCTGGGATCTGAACGCTGGTCCTCAGGATCACAGAGTACATGCTATTAACCACAGAACATCTTCCCAGTCCAATTGTTGCTTTCTTTTTAACCGTAAAAAGAATGCAAGAAAAATAATATAAGGAGACTTGTACTTTATATTGCATGGAATATATAGAACAAAAAATAATGAAGCTTTGGAGACTAGGAAATTGTATGACCTATTTATGGGAGGCAGGCTTCCCTAGACAGATTTGTTTTTTAAAAGAAAACCTGGAGTCCCAGAACCTTAACTAAAATCTCTTTATTTATAAATATTAGTTACTACTTCTAACAAGATCCAAAGAAACATAGAAGATACCCACCTTGTGTTTATGTGGCTTGGAGGCCACCTTGTTAGTTTTGTTCTGAACTGTGCTGTCTCTAAAGGCCACTCCATCACATTACGTGGCTTACACTGCTTTGGAGGACAGCTCTACAGCATCCGCCGGGCACCTGCTGTCCCTCAGCTTCAGACAGGGTTGGAGCAGATGCCCCCTGATCCAGAGGCATCTGTTGCTCGTGGCATGCTTACTCTTGAGAGGGTGCTGGATATTTTAAACATTATTCTTGGGAAGATTTTTTTGAAAGAATTTTCTGTAGTCTCCATGACAACTGTAAAGAGGAGATTGAGTTTTAAGTATTTTACAGAAGAGTAAATTAACATCTAGTTCAGTTATGAATGTTCCCAAGCTGTAAGTCATCAACACGAGACACCAGATGAGCTCGGAGTCCAACTTTTCATCACACTCTAAAGCTGACTCGATTTTAGACTTGATTAGACCGCATTAAGTTAAAGGATACTTCTGTTGTTGCCTCTATCTTGTGAGAGTCTGGGGCAAGGAAAAGGTAAGGTACGGAACTATTTTCCAGGAGACATGATTCCTCCACACCTTCTCATCCCCTTCACCACTGGGTCCTGCTGGGATGGAGGGGAACTGACAGGAGGAAGAAAACAATGGCCTGCTCCTTCACAGCCTGGAAGCTTCCGCACTAAGGCAGGACACTCCCAGCTCTGTAGGTGACTGGACGGACAGCGCATGGGGAGGGAATTGGCTGGTGGAATGCTACTTTGGGCAGATGCCAATCAACTGTCTCATGGTCTGAGCCAGACCCACAACACTTTATATAAACACAGCCCTCTGCCCAGATGCCTTAGCCTGCATGACTTTGTGCCTGCTGAGGAGGGTGAGTTTGGAAGCTGGGTCCAGGGATTGTGCTGGGGGTGATATTTAGGTGATATTCAAGGAGAAGCTGGGATAGAAATTCGTCAGCCTGAGGAGAAAAACTGCCTTAGGAATATAAGACATGCAGAACTGATGAGAATAGACAGGCTGTAAAGCGTATTCATCTTTGACAGCCCCTGGTTTCTTCTCCAGTGAGAGGTGCTATGTTATATGATTCAATGGCCAAATTAGCCCTGTGCTGTGCTGGCCACCAAGCTGCCCAGATACAGACACCTATCTCTGGGAAGAACAGTTGAGTGGTATCTGATGTGTTTTCTTTTAGCTAAGGGAAGTATAGGAGTGTATGACTAAATGTCTTAGATCTCGCTGTTATGACCTTGCTATGTAGATGCACAAATGTGCCTGAATGTCCTTACACAAAGCCTCGAATGTGACAAAGGATCTGCTAGTCTCTGGGTTACCTCAGCTTAATTAACTCTATGCTGCCTTTCAGAGGGTTTGGGGAGAAAATGTCTCTGAATTCAGCAGACTGTTACCCTCCAGATCACTGGTAACAGCGACCTGCCTGGGCAAATGCTCATGCTAATCCCAAGGATAGTGTGTTTCATGTATGAGGTATAAGTGGATTTGCATATTTCTATAAGGGTCTATTAAAATGAACTCACTTAAAAAGATTGAATGCAAGGCAGTAAATATTAAACTCCAGGCCAAAGAGGTCTGGAATCTGCCTGAACCCTTTGCTTTCAGGGGACTTTTCGATGAAATAATGAACCTACATGATGCCTGTGTTTTTGTTTTGATTTTTGTTTTCCCTGGGTTCATTTTTGCATACATGTGTGGGATGTGTGAGGAAATGCAGGCTTCTGTGGGTGTGGAAACCTCTGTTTGGGCTATGCATTGTAAGCAAGCTGCCGCCCATTCTTCCTGTAGGACTGTCCCCACCACCAGGCTGTGGGAGGGCGGGGAATCTGCTTGACATCAGTGCTCTCTGGTGGCAGACACTGGCATGCCTACATTTACATCCAGCGGTGCAGAATCCAGCCTTTTTTTTTGCAAAACTGGAGCAGGTCTCATAGACAATGGTGACTAGCATGGGCTCCAACTAAGCCAGTACCAGTAAGAATTCTTGGGTGAAGGTTGAGAGCATGTGAAGACAGGCCGGAGAAGATGCCTGGCTCCTGGCTCTCAGCCTCTTGACCCTGGTTTCTCTACCCTCAGGTCTTGTTCACCCCCCTGCATCAGGACCATGTGTGATCAGCAGCAGATTCAGTGTTGCGTGCCGGTGCCCCAGTGCTGTGTCAAGGGTTCCTCCTTTGGTCCCTCACAGTATTCCTATGCCAACAACCAGGTGCTGGTCCAAGCTCCATGTGGGATGCAAGTTGTGGAATACGCTGCACCATGCTCAGTTCCAGTTTCCCAGACTCCATGCCAGTCCGGTGGCATTGAAGTGAAGGGCCAGGCTGCAGGCTCATCTAAGAGCACTAAGGTTAAATGCCAGGCTCCATGCCAATCAAAGACCACCCAGGTAAAATGCCAGCCTAAGACCACCGAGGTAAAGTGCCAAGCTCCCTGCCAGGCTCAGGTTTCCTGTATTCAATGCCAGGCTCCCTGCCAGTCTCAGGTTTCCTACGTGCAAGTCCCACAGCCTCTTCCGGCCTACTATGTAGAATGTGCTCCGGTGTATTACACAGAAACGAGTTATGTGGAGTATCCCGTTCCAACCTACGTGCCTGCTCCAGCTCCTCAGCCTGTTCGCACTTATGTAGAATGTCCCTCAGTGGGCCAGGGCCAGGGAAGTTTCCCCACTCAGGGCCAGTACCAGGGCTCCTACGGCAGCTGTACCTCGCAATCACAGTCACGGGGTTCTTACAGCAACTGTGGTCCACAGTCTCAGTCCCAGGGTTCCTACAGTCGCTGTGTGCCACAATTCCAGTCTGGGACCTCCTACACCAGCTGCCGCCCCCAGCGCCAGTCACAGGCTTCCTATGCCGGCTGTGCCTCCCAATTCCAATCACGAGCATCCTACAGCCACTGCTCCTCCCAGCGTCGGTCTGGGGCTTCGTTCAGCACCTGTGCACCACAATGCCAGCCCCAGGGCTCCTATGGAAGCTTCACTTCACAGCAGCGCCGGTCTCAGAGCACCAGCAGATGCCTCCCTCCTCGTCAGCTGCAGCCTTCATATCGAAGCTGCTCTCCACCAAGGCGTTCCGAGCCCTGTTATAGCAGCTGCCTGCCATCCCGATGCTCTTCAGGCTCCTACAACTATTGCACCCCACCCCGCCGATCAGAGCCCATCTATGGCAGCCACTGTCCTCCTCAGGGCCGCCCTTCAAGCTGTTCCCAAAGATGTGGACCCAAGTGCAGAGTAGAGATTTCCTCACCCTGCTGCCCCAGACAGGTTCCTCCACAGAGGTGCCCTGTCCAGATTCCTCCCATCAGAGGTAGATCCCAGAGCTGTGGCCGGCAACCCTCTTGGGGTGTCTCCTGCCCGGATCTGAGACAGCCACAGCAATTCCCAAGGTCTTGCGGCCCACAGCGTCGTGCCTGGTCTCCAGAACCATCATGGCAGCGGTGTCCAGTTCCTGCACCACGTCCATGTCCAGAACCACAGCGTCGTGACCGGTCTCCAGAATCATCATGGCAGAGGTGCCCAGTTCCTGCACCACGTCCATGTCCACGTCCAGAGCCATGCCCAAGTCCAGAACCCCGGCCATGTCCTCCACCCCGGCGGTTTTCAGAACCATGTCTCTATCCAGAACCATGTCCAGCTCCTCAACCAGCACCATGTCCAGCCCCACGTCCAGTGCCACGCCCGCGCCCAGTTCACTGTGAGAATCCAGAACCACGTCCACAACCCCAGCCTTGTCCATATCCAGAGCCAATGCCGCATCCTGCGCGCTGCTCCAGCCCAGAGCCTTGTGGGGAACCCATGCGCTGTACCAGTCCTTGCTCAGGCCCTAATCCAGTTCCCTACCGCCAAGAACTAGGCTGTCATGAATCTAACCCATGCCGCCTGGATACTGAAGGCCCGAGCCCATACAGCTGCAACCAGGGGCAAGAGAGTAACGACAACTGTAGACATGATGATTCCTTCCTGGGGACACAGAGTCTAGGTGGTTGTGGAGACCAAGGAAATACCCACGGCGGAGCGAAAGGTGGGGCTTATGCTGGAGCAAAGGGCGCTTACTTTTAAACAAAATGTAGCTCAAATGCCCCTGCTGCAGGCTCTTTAGAACATTTCCCCTTCTCCTCTGGTCTACAGCGCTCCACAGATGTTGATTTGGTCCCTGCTTCAAAGCTGTGTTTCAGACTCCGTGCGTGTCATCTCGGATTCCACACCCGAGTCTCAGACATCATTCCAGCTATGTCTCACTCCTCCTCCGCCCTCCGTTTAAATTCTAACTAGACCAGCTTGTCCACCAGGGTGTTTCCTGGGTGTTCCTCCTGACACTCCCCAGATGCTCTTCCTCTGCAGAGGCTCGCTCCACCTGAACCATTTCTCACCCATTTCCCAGGATCCAAAATTGCACCTGTCTTTCAACACCTCTTTTTTGAAGCCTTTTATTATCATAGTTGCCTGTTTCCATCCACGGGAGCCTATTCTGACTTCCTAGAGTTCATCGCCCATAGCTCCATCCATTTAGCAAGAGCTTTGCAGTACTCCTGAACTAATTTTTCTTTGCAGTTTTTGCCTTTTCTGCCCAGCAACGTTGTAAACTTTCATTCGAGTGGAGTCAGTATATCCTTAAATCTCTGTGCCTATATTAGGTCAGGCAATAGTTGATCAAGGTTGTAGTTGACAGCTTGAGCTGTGTTCTGGCCTGTTGGGAAACTATAGGAACTGGGGCAAGAGGAGGATGCATAATAATAAAAAGTGGATGTGTTCACAGTTTGAGTCCCGAGTAATGTCTACTCTTTATTATATACCAATTTGCTGAGATGGTGTCTTTTTAAAATATGGTAAAATACATATAACAAGATTTATTAGGGTAGCCATGCCAAAGCATACATACGGCTCAGTGGGATGAATAATGTTTGCATTGTTATATTTCCATCACCACCATTCATCTATCCTGCAGGACGAAACACTCAATACCTCATTCTCCACTTCCCTTTAGCCTCTACACACTAGCATTCCATTCTCTACCTTACAAAATTTGACACTACATTTCCCACAGATAGACTCAAGTGGTATTTGTGCTTCTGTTATTCACTTGGCATAATGTTCTCCAGGTTCATCTTCGCTGTAGCATATGACTGCTATCAAGGCAGCATATATACATGCTGCATGTAGACACCACGCTTTATTTGTTCAGTAATGAATGCACAAGTACTTGAGTTGATTCCATCATTTGACTCTAGTTAGTAATGGTCCAATCAACACCAGTATAAATTACTTCTTTGAGTATATGATTTCAACTCATTGAGTAGATATCAAGAAATGGAGTTTCAACACCACGTGCTAAGGCAGGTGCTGCCATGTTGCTTTCTATAGTGGTGACATCATCCCCAGTCCCATCCCAGCATCATCTCAGTCCCATCCCAGCAGCATCCACAGTCCCATCCCAGCATCATCTGCAGTCCCATCCCAGCAACATCCACAGTCCCATCCCAAGTAGCACCATTCACAGCCCTACCCCGAGTGTACAGGTCTCAATTTCTCCACATCCTTGTCAACTATTGTTATTTTTTGTGTTTTCTTAAAAACCAACCATCCCAATGTGATGTAGTATGGATTTCATTGGAATGTATTATTTCGGTTTCAAGTTTATTGTACCGATTCCTTAATATAGTTGAAGCGGCTTGATTTATGGTTCTCTGTCTCACCTTCATGTCCTTGTCTCCTGATGAATGAGGGAGTAGGGAAGATGACTCCTCAGCTAAGAGCAAATGTGTTCAGACCTGGATTTGGTAGTTGACTGACTGTAGCACTAAGGATGTAGTCAGAGCCGTGATACCTCTGGCTCCAGGGATATAGGACAGAGGACACATGGAGGATCTCTGGAAATATGTTTTCTTTTGAATTAACTTATTTTCACTTATCTATCTATTGTTTTATTATATAGAAAGCAAAGACTGAGCCAAATTCAGAATTAATCAATTGCTTTCAAATCCTGTTATGCATGGTACCTTATGTGCAGTCTGGGGGAATAGAATCAAAGGGGCAGAAGATATAGAAGACTAATTCTCCTACTCTCTGATGCCACCATATGGAGCTGGAGAGTGAGCACACTGGGGGACCCACAGTGTGAGATGGTACCTGAAGGTTACAGAGGATAAGAAGGCTGCTCTGGAGAGGATGACAGCAGGGGAAGGCTCTGACATGCCCCTTGGAATGTTTACTCCAATGACCTCTCCTCATGGGACACATCCCAAACAACTCAAAACTACAAGGCTAGAACTGAGAACACAGAGTCAAATCTTGGGTCTAAACATGCTGTTCCCTTGTCCCAGGGACCTAGCTCTACAATGTCAATTTTGGAGATCTAGAGGCTATGTATCAAAACCCTGTGTGGTGTAAAGGAAAACTGGGGCCTTTGTGTGTGGTGCACTCCTTCATGCACCATGGACAAACCACCACTGTTTACCTGCTAGGAAGACACTGGTAAAAGGGACATAAATCCTATTTACTATCACTAAACAACTTAACAAGTGGTTCTTGGTGGTACCTGGAGCAGAAATATCAAGATTGTTGTGTGGACTTTTTCAAGGAAACAAACAAGCATCAGCCCATCTAGGATGTGGCTCCAATGGCAGGTCAGAGAAATGATTCCCTTTAAGTCTAGCTCGGTGGATCAGAGAGCCTAAGTAGAGTCACTTAAAGGAGCATGGGAACTTATGAGTGCCTGAAGAGCCGAAGAAAACGTCTTGTCCAGCAACCATTAGACAGCTCTGTCTATTCAGGAAGGGGTCAGGCCTCCTTTTTCCATCAAAGATATTAGTGGGCCCAATCTCTTGTGACTCTCATGTAGGTTATCACGGCTCCAGAAAGTTCAGAAGGGCAATGGCCATGCCATTCCTGGAGGACAGCATTCACGACATTCTCCCCTTTCCTCCTTGTTCTTACATTATTTAAGCCCCTCTTCTCTAATATTCCCTGAGGTTTAAAGGGGATGGTTTAGATGTCCCTTTCACAGGTGGGTGTTCAGCAGTCTTATTTTCTCAGGGTTTTTTGACCGGATGTGAGTCTCTATCTTAACTGGCAACCACTGCATATACAAGTTTACTTGACCAAGGATGACAGCAGTAATACTTATGAATGTAAACATTGATGCTGAGAGGATAGTTTGACAGACACATCACATCCATTTTGCAGAACAACGATGTTGTTTCCCCAGCAGGGTCTAGGGCTTTCCCATCTATTTGTTTTTGACTGGACTCCTGGGTACCAGATGTGATTTCCCTTCTGTGGATTGAGCCTTAAGGCCAGGGAGAAAGCAGGTAGTTTTACATAAAAGTCATGATTGTACAAGTGGATGCATCTTGCCTAGCATGTTGGTAGTGCAGCGTGCAGAATCTCTAGCTGGGTAAGACTGTTGATGGCAATACTCTCCAGTAGCTTCTGACACTATGACAGCTAGCCAGCAAGAAATGAAGCTTCTGTCTCAACCTCAGCTTCATTTCTCTGCCCTATGACCAAGGCCTGCAGGGTGTTCGGTAATAAGGTCTTATTGTCTAGTTCCAGTGGGAAACAAATAGCAAAATTAATAGCCTGTATTGGGGGAGGGGTCCTCAGGGACCTCCCTGATTAATAATTTGTAGGAAGGTAAACTATTCCTGGTGCTGGGAGTTTCATCTAATCACTTTGTGGCTTTTTTAAAATATATATACAGCTTTAATTGGGAAATAGACTTACAGAACCAGAGGTTCCAGCAGAGAACAGGAAAGCAGAAGGGGTGGCCAGGAGCATGCCCACAATCTTTATAAGTAAAAAATATCCTCAGAGGACCACGCCCTACTAGTAATGTGATTGGCTGGGTCTCTCCTACATCTCCCCTTTTTGTTTAAATAAGATAGAGCCAAACCAAATACAGCTATATACAATAGTAACAAATAATAAATATAACAAACAATATTGAGCAAGAAACATATAACAAAAGTTTTGCTAAACATTCTATCTCAAGAAGACTTTGTGGCTTTTGAGAGCATCTCTGGGTCACTGTCCCTCCATCAGCCCTACTTGCCTGCTGAGAGGGCCTTGGCCTGGACATAATTTCCAACTATAGTATATTTTCTTGAAGGCAAGAGTTGTGCACCTACTTCTCTGGATGGTAGTGATGATAAGGCTGTACTCCTGGGACAAGATTAGTCTTTTTCCACCTGCAATGTTATGCAGAACTCTGGCTTTATACACATCTTATCACATTTGATTTTGAATGACCCAAACAGGACCTTTCCCAACTCATATAGACCATTTCTTACCATAGGATTCATCAGAACTACAGAAGCCCCATACCTGGTCCCTGATGAATCTACCATTTTCTTCACTCTTCTGGGAATACAGGACTACTTGACCCAGTGAACTGGGCTCCAGACACTGCCTCACTCATGCTCGACTCTGCCGTGGCCCCTGTTCTTCCTCTATTGACCCCTCGTACCTGGGATTCACAGACACATCAGGTGCAAATAATCAAGTATCCCTCATCTTGTTTCCAATTATGGGGGCGGTGGTGGCGCACGCCTTTAATCCCAGCACTCGGGAGGCAGAGGAAGGCGGATCTCTGGGAGTTCGAGGCCAGCCTGGTCTACAAGAGCTAGTTCCGGGACAGGCACCAAAGCTACAGAGAAACCCTGTCTCGAAAAACCAAAAAAAAAAAAAAAAAAAAAGATTTCCAATTATGAAAACTTCGTCTTATTCAATTTCTACACTTTAGCACTCAGACTGATCTTACCTCCTCCCAAGTCCCATAACCTCGTGAGCTGTGCTGTGAGAGTCTCATTTCTTGTTTCTTTTTCAGTTTAAGCAATTCTGGGGCATATTATTCTCTGATTATCAGTGGCCTGTACAGTTCCCTACTATAACCTCTATCTGCATGGTGTACTAGGGATGGATTTCCCTTCCTATATATTAAAAGTCAGACATGAGGGGCACAATCTGTCACTTCTTCCTTACGGTCTCCCTCCTCACTATCTTATTTCCCCCAAGCATTCAAATTTTCAAGAAGAGACTTGTGAAGGTCAGTCTTAGTTGTTAGGTCGACTGCATGTGGAATCAACTAAAACCCAAGCAGCTGGACATTCCTGTGAGGATTTTTCTGGACAGGATCATTTGAGGTGGAAAGGCCCATCATAAGTCTGGGATCTACCTTCTCATGGAAGCCAACGTCAGAGGACATAGAACAAGGAGGTTTTCTCTTCATGCCACCTTGTCTTCAACCTTTCAAGCTCAACCAATCTGTTGCATTCCTCTACTGGCACTGGAACCAACTTCTTTGGGGTTCCAGTGTGGACTGAAGACCAGCTGAAACAACCATCCTTAAAGACTGAACAACTACCAGATGGATTTCTGACTTTTCCACTGTGGGTGGGGGCAACAATTGTTGGACTAGCCAGGCTACAGTCCATAAGTCAATGTAATAAATCATATTCTGTTCCTCTAGAGAAATCTGATTAACACATGTTTATTTAACATATATTTAATCTGTATCCTTTCCTTTATGTCCCCCAATCCCACCTTAAGAAACAGTAAGCCAGCACTGTTTTTCCCCTCCCTCTTTTTCACTATCTCTGCAAATTCTAATGCTAACACAGAGGTTAATGTACATCTGTTTTTTCCCTTGTTTTTATTCCTCCTTTATCCATA